GTTCACATGAAGTTCTTTGAATCCTTTTGAGCATCTGTGTCTGTCCATATCCTACAGAGTTTTCCACACTGACACCAGATGGTAAACTTAGTGGTAATGATGGCGGCTGCTGCTGTCATGACATGATATAAGACATTGCCATGGAGATGTTGTTCCTACAGCATCACAATGTTGCTCCAGGACCATCATTGCAACTGACCAAGCACAGGTTTGCAATGGGGGGAAAGTTTGTGTTCAGGATTTTCTGTCCGGCGTATTGGCTTTTTACCATCTTGTTAATGTTGTGAAAGAGTCTTGCATAGTTAAATGGTCTGACTGTACCTCATTATCATGCTACTATGGGGGGAAAACACTCTGGCTTCTGTTTGTTTCCCTACACCAATCACAGTTGTGTTGGGTGGAGCTGAGCCAAGGAGGCTGCAACAGTGTCCCTTCAAAACAGTGACAGGGGATTTGCAAGCACCAAAAAATCCCCCAACAACCTAGGGCTGCCTGACTGTACAATCCAAACCCCTAACAAAACTTTTTTAGTTTGAGGTTTCTGGCCTGGAGGTTGTTTTTGTTGTGTACTTTAGTTGAGAGGAGTTTGAAAACCGTAACATAGTGAAAGAAAAAGAGAAAAGCTTAGACCTGCAATCTACATCCAGTGAGTGAGTTAGTTTTAGCCCAAACCATAATCTTTTTTAAACCAAACCAACAAGCTGAGAATCAAAAGTCAAAATAGTAAAAAAGCTGAAAATGTCAAGCCAACTAAGTCATTACTGAATTATTTAGTTTCACATGACGCTTGAACCCCAGTCTGTTGGATGAGAATCCTGGGTTCTAACCGATATTGTGGAGAATAACAGTTGGTAATTGCAGTGGGGGAGAGAGACAAATTTGTTCTGTACTTTGCTCTTTTCCAGAGAAGAATTAGAAAGACACATTTTTTATATCATGACAGTGAACACGAACTTGTTTCCTGTTGGCTTATTGGACTTTGTAAGTTCAACCTTATTATATGGTTTTTGATACAATCTGAAAGTCTAAGTTTAAGAACAGATTCCTAAAGATACAGACTTAAACTCCAAACCTGAGATCTCTGTTTTTGACTTTTGTTGTGATACACGTCTCACATTACCATGGGCAGTTTCTCTAAAAACGACTTAATTGTGTAAAAAATAACCATGAATAGAAGATGAACAGATGATTGGTATATACCTAAACCTAAGAGCGACCAACTGACTTTACTTTCGCAGCTTCGTACAGTATTGCCTTTTTTCCTAAAGCCTTTTTGCTACAAAGTTATTCTCCAAATCGCAAAGCTATGACATCAAACAACGTGATTGGTGAGTTGCAATGAAGGTCCTGGAGCAGCTTTAATCACAGGAACAACACCAACACTGCATTGTGAGGAACACAAAGAGCCACGGGCCAGACTGATCGTGGTTGATTTGTTTTTGCAGGTGTCGACACAGCTGAGGTGAAATTGGGAGAAAACCTGAAAATCAACCTTAACCTCAACAGACAGCAAAGTGAAAAAAATGACATCACGTACCTGGTAGGAGATGATTTGCACTTGTGTGTGTGTTGACACGCAAGTGTAGCAACCAGGATAAGGATTGTTGCGTAAATTTATGTCCTCAGATTTTGAGCAGAGGTCAGCTGGTTAAACATGGCCGCTTCCAGATGAAACGTCAAATACTTGTTTCCCTGCCCCTTACCATTACCAAAGAAATGCTGCCATCATTCCGCATCGTAGCCTACTACCATCCAGATTCTGGGGAAGTGGTATCAGACTCTGTTTGGGTGGATGTGGAAGACTCCTGCATGGGATCGGTGAGGGACGCAACACAGAAACGCAATTAAATTAATTCAATTACAAGACACTCAACTGGTGAAGTTGTAGGCACATGCAACAATTAATACAGAATCTACAATAAAGAAGAATTAAATCTACTCTTGCTTCCTTCATTAGCTGAAGTTGGAACAATCGAAAGTGGAGAATTCCTACAAGCCTCGCGACAAGTTTGGTCTGAAGATCACAGGAGATCCAGGGTCCACGGTGGGAGTGGTGGCAGTCGATAAAGGCATCTACGTCCTCAACAACAAGCACCGCCTGACACAGAAAAAGGCAATTTTGTTTTGTCCTTGTCTTAATCATACTCAATCAGTAAAATAAATGCAGCATGGCTCAAAAGTGGTATACACAGAAGTGCAAATTGTTGGAAGAAACATTGGTCATATAAATGCAAAGGTGATTAAATTCTTGTAAAATATTCTTTCTTTCTGATGTATAGCATTAAAACATGAAAAAGATATATTCTGTACTTCTACCATAGTTGTGTGGTTTCCATTAAGGTGCAGGGTTATGACAAAAAACAGCTAGAAACTTCCTGGGGTTCAGAGGGTTAGGATGTTAAATGTACTTTTTTATCTTGGACAGCTGAAAACCACTGTTGGTTTCTTCCCCAAAGTGGCAAAAGTCAAATCTTATAGCGAAAACGCTTGAGGAAAAGTACAAAACAAAATAAACACAACAACGAACCTTGGGAGAAGATGCGATTCTTGATTTCTACATCTGCTGACTAAGACTTCTGTTTCTGTATTTCTGTACCTTCATCTCGTCAGATTTGGGACGTCGTGGAGAAGTACGACACTGGCTGCACACCGGGTGGAGGGAAGGACAGCATGAACGTCTTCTTCGATGCTGGACTGATGTTTGAGACCAACACTGCTTCTGGGACGCCCTACAGAACACGTAGCTTCCGTCTTTAGTATTGAAGTGATGGGATAGTAGCGAGAGATTGACTTATTGCATCTTATAAATGGCTTACAGTGTATCTCAGTGTGCTCGGTAGCCAAAAGCTAATGATCTTTTCAGTGACAGTGTTGTTCAGTGAAGTCAGTTCAGATTGCAGATGTGCTATTAAAGATTTGTAACACTTCCGTTTGTTTGGACACAGGAACATTTCTGTGACTGCGGTGTCAAACTACAGTCGTGACTCGATAATCCGACACTAAATGTGGGGAGCGCTCCACAAGGGTGGAAGTGGCCATATTGTACAGGCAGTACTTGGCTGCTGATACTAGTTTGGGATAGCGGTCACACTTCTGTTTCCACCGTCGGTGGAGGCGGGCAGCAGCGCCACTGCCCTGCTGCTGCAGCCACCATCTGTGTTTACTTCCGTAAACACTGAGCACGCTCGTTGCGTGTGACGTTGTTGTGTCCTCTTCTGCGCATGTGGGACACTTCTGGGTTGTATGACGTTCACAAAGCAGATCACATACACGTCGCATTTAATTGGAAATGAGAACGAACTCACAAAAAAAATCTGATTTCACAAAAAAATTTGAATTAATCATCAATCAAGTCCTGCAGTCTGAATGTAGCCAAACTGTTGGATTGTTAAGTCAGATAATACGCCGTTGTCCTTATTTGTGACATAAAATGTCATGTTGGAGTCGGAATCCAAGGCTGTCGGCACTTTAAGGCTATTTTTCGTGTGTTCCTTTTGTTTTTCCTAAAAACCTTGTTGGATAGCAATGTTTTCAGATTGTTAAGGGTCGAATTCACAACTGTGCTTATTTTAACAGTATCAGGACACAGATACCACGCAGTTTTGTACTCGCTGGGTTGTCTTTATAGGCAAGTCTGTTTTGTACATTTCCAGATGTTAGTTGCAACGCCACCAGAAGCACCTTCAGCAGGAGGAAACGAGCCACCACTATAATGGAAGTCAGAACCTCCTTGGGTAAGAATCAAAGCTCAAATTACCCATTTACCACACATTCAAAGAACACCTGACCTTTAAAATGTACAAAGTGCACACAAAAATAGGAATATTACATGCTCACAGTCTTAGGTGGTTTGAGGCAAATAGACAAAAGAACGTGCGATAAACGTGCAAATCGTGCTGGTCGAAGAAATAGAATTAAGGTGCCAAAAATGCTGATATTTACAAAAAAGTAATAAAGTATTCACAAAAATATTTTCTTAGTCATATTTTGAGAGCCACTTTGAAACTCCAGTACTCAGTTTTTCTGTCTTTCCGTGAAAATATTTGATATGTCATGCTAAAATGTTTCAAATAGCTTTACAAATATCCTCACTTTACACTGTAAACATTTCAGGCAAATCAGAGATGATGGAGCAGAAATTGAAAAAGTTTGAGATAGAATGACCAAGTTACAGAGAATATATTTATATCTACACGTATTTTATGGTCGATTTGTACTTTCTAGCGCCTGGTGGTCGGGCCTCTGCCCACGGGGCCCGGCCCCCTGCGGACCCACCACCCGCAGAGGGAATCATAGGGGTCGGGTGCAAAGAGGAC